GGGGGGGGGGGGGGGGGGGGTGTATCTTTTGGAATTATGGTTTTCTTCAGGTATATGCCCAGGAGTGGAATTGCTGGATCATATAGTAGTTCTATTTATTTTAAAAAGGAATCTCCCCCCAAAAAAGTAAATAAATAAAAAGGAATCTCCATACTGTTCTCCATAGTGGCTGTTATCAATTTACATTCCCCCCAACAGTGCAAGAGGATTCCCTTTTTTCCACATTCTCTCCAGCGTTTATTGTTTCTAGATTTTTTTGATGATGGCCATACTGTGTATGAGGTGTGAGGTGTGAAGTGTGTGAGGTATGAGGTGATACCTCATTGTAGTTTTGATTTGTATGTCTCTAATCTTTAGTGATGTTAAGTATATTTTCATGTGTTTGTTGACCATCTGCATGTCTTCCTTGGAGAAATGTCTATTTAGATTTTCCACACCTTTTTTTTTTTTGATTGGGTTGTTTGGGCAAATAAGAAAGAGAGGTTTGTCTAGCAAAATCCTCATTTGAAGATGCATGGAAGAACGTGGAGAATTCCAGTGGAGGCAGAGAGAAGAGGAAAGGGGCTGGAGACGGAAAAGACCCTCTGATGCTGTCAGTGTTGGCTGAAGGACGTCTCTCCAGTGAACAGTCTAAAAAGGGGAAAAATTGTGTGTGTTGTCAGGGGCAGGAATGTGTGTATATGTAATACACATCCTCATGCTCTAGAAGTGTGTGTGATTAGCAATTTGCTTGCTTTTTCCTTTGATGTAGTGTATACCTTTACACACCACCACTGGGGGTCAGGGGCATAAAGCTGAGACCCCTTACCCAGTTTCATTTCCTCCGTGTTTCATAGCTAAACACCTGAATCTCTATTCTGAATGGCATACTGGGCCCTACGCAGAGAACAGAGAAACTGCCAATGTTGTTTGGCCTTGAGTAGAGGGAGAAGAGAAGCCTTTCACGTGAAGACACACAAGGTGGAAGCATTGCATCACTCCCTCCTTTCCCGGTCCGTTTCCTCACCAGTGAAATGGGAAGTGTGGACTGAGTTCTCAGGAGGACCTTCCAGTTCTCACTGTCCTTGCCTGGAACTATCTCCTCTTCCTCCCATCTGGACAAAGCTATGAGGTCCTGACCAGGAACTGCCTCCTCCTTCTCTGCTGTCACTCATCTCCCGTCTGCCTGCAGGACAGCTTTTTAAAACTCCGCCCAGCGCCATCTTCTCCCACTGAAGTCCGAAAGTCTAGACTATGTGAGAGGGTAGAGCATGAACTCAAATGCTGTGCCATTGGCCGCTGGAGGACTCTAAGCCATTGCCAACCGCTCCCAGGACTAGCCTCCATGTCTTCAAGACAGGAATAAGGCCTCTAGTGCCCACTGTGGGGTGAAGATGCATGAGCTAATGTGCTGTGCACGTAGGTCCGTTATGGACTGAACAGCCCCTGCTCCAAATTCATATGCTGAAGCCCTATCCCCCAGTACCTTAGAGTCCAATCTAACTGGTATCTTCACAGGAAGAGACTAGGGCACATACACTGGGGGTGCATGTGCAGAGGCAAGACCATGTGAAGAGGTTGCAAGAAGACAGCCCTCTGCAAGCCAAGGAGAGAGGCCTCAGGAGAAAGCAAGTCTTCTGGTATCCTGATCTTAGACTTCCTGCCCTCAGGAGTGTGATGAAGTGAATTTCTTTGAGCCACCCCTAAACAGATTAATATAGTCCTTAAGAGGCCCTGCTTCTTTCTGCCTTTAATTTGTGTCAGCTTTGCTTTACATGTGGCAAGTCTTGTTCCTCTGTTTATAAGTGACTGAAGGGAGGGATCCCGTGGGTGTATCTCTTCCTGTCCCCAGAGGACACAGTTCAATGCCAGGCACAGAGTGTACAAAGTCTGATCTCTTGCCTCACTGTCCACTTCCGGCTTGCAGACAAGGGTGGGGGGGGATCCAGCTGCCATCCGTCAGAGTGCTCCTCAAACTTCCTCATGGAATCAATTTAGTGAATCACATGAGCACTTTTCAAAAAAGGCCGACATGGAATAGCAAGAGAATTAGAAAATGCCAGACTGTATCACAGGCAGTAGGAGGAAGCATTATTTTATGAAACTTGCATTTGTTTTTACAAATATTTTTAAGTAGACAAAAAATAATTACCAACTATTCTAAGTGTTGTGAATTATATTTGTGCCTGGTTACTGCATCGTGGTGTAAAAATGCATTTCTTAATATGAATCACAATCCCCTAAATCTGAAAAAACACAGCCCTCAACCAGTATTGTTCAGTTTCTCTTTGAGTTTATGACTGAAAAGCCGATCAGCTGTCGAGGGGGGGGCCTGAGGTGGTGTAGCGGCAAGGACCTGAGTGTGAGGAGTCACTGTCTAGGCCAACAGTCATGGAGGCCTGGCCTTGGGTCCTCTGCTGTGTCCTAGAGTAAGTGACATGACTTCACTGGGCCTATTTCCCCATCTGTAAACGAGGAGTCACAAAACCTCTCATGGGATTCTATCAGGACTACCAGGCGCCAAGAAACCTGAAGGTACCCACTCACTAATATGAGACAGTTTTTATTTCATCATTTTATTTCATCATTTCATTCAGGTCTGTCTGCTCCAGTAGGTGAATTGTTTCCTTCCTCTTCCGCTGCAGGAGAAAGGAATGTGCTTGCCCCTCACCCCTCAGGAATCCCTGGCTGGAGTGGGCCAGAGTTGAAAGTGTATCCAGAAATGCATTTTAGAGGCTAAATGCCAAAGTAGACTCCCCTGTGGATTTTATGAAGAGAAAATCAAATTCTGGTATATTCTCAAAGCAGCTTCCCGAGAGCAGTCAAGGTCCCAAGAAGTCAGGAGCAGCAGCCTCCCATCCTTTGTCTAGGAATCAGAGGCCAGCCGCCACTCCGCTCTGGCTAGGCTCCCAGGAGCACTGCCTGCAGGCTCTGAGTCACTATTAGAAGCCGTCCGGGGCCTCTGGGAGAGCAGGGGTGGAAGAGCATCCACCTCCCTTAGCCAGGCCACTTCTTTCGGTGACACACCTATCTTTCCTGGGCCAAGGACTTTCTGAAACCCATGCTGCAAACCTGCTTCCAAGCAGGGAGCTTAGACATGAGTGTATTATCTGGAATTCCTAGAGGGTTTGTAACAGAGCAACTGAACAGGTGTAGGCAGCTGACCCCTACCCCTACCCTGCTTCCCGCTCCTGCACTGGGCTCCCCTCTCCAGCCCCAGAGCCCTATGTGTCACCATCCTGACCACCATCCCCTGGTTCAAGAACAGAGAGCACTGGATAGAAAGTCAGGACCTAGCGCTGCTTCTGAGTGACCTCACTTGTAAAATAGCTGGGCTGGTGGGGGATGGGCTGGCATTTGATTTTCTGTAGGAGTCAGATCCTTAAAATGTTCTAAAATTCTAGGAAACGAACTAGAGAAGCTAAAACCACACTGCTTTGCTCCCCAGGGAGAATCAGGGATCTGTGTTCCTGGAGACGCAGGCAGAGCTTCCAAGCCATCAGACTAGTTTCTGGGGTTTGGAACCTGGTTGATGGGGAAGGGGTGGGCATCCTTCGTGCAGCCTGCACCAGCAGGGTGCAAAATTTGGATTGTCCAGGGTGTGCCAGGGTCTGGGACAGGGTAAGGAGAATGGTCATTGTCACCCACAGGAGCTGCACTCTGCACCAGAGTAGGGAAATGGGGGGGCTTTTCCTTGGCAGTCTTCACTAGCCTCTCTCCCTTTGTCTTAACTCAAAGACCCTCTGCCTTATTTCGGACACCTACTGTCCAGAACTTATCAGAGGGACCCCCAAACCCCACCCACTCAGATCTGTCTCCAGATCCTTCCTGTCACCCTACTCTCCTTGCCCAACTGTTTTTTGAGTCAGGAAGCCAATGAATATTTAGCCTCTCTGGCCTAGAATTTCACTTGGTGAAATTCTCAGAGGCCCTCCAATGCTCTTCTCCTCTGTGAAGCCTGCCCTGACCAACACTTATGCTCCAGCACCTTTCCCTTTTCGTCCACACCAGACATTTGGGTATTTAATCGTTTATTCCCTCAATGTATATTGAATGCTGGCTGCCTACCATCTGCTCTGCTAGGAGCTAGGGTGAGGAGTGCAAAACCACACCCAGCTTCTCCCCCTCAGAGGCTGAGGGCCTGGTGGGCTCTTCTTACACACCCCTTCCTCCGTGCTCCCTTCCCAGCCCCCACTCACTCTGAGATCAGCTCCCAAGCACAGCACCTGTGTCTTACACATATTTCTCTCTCAACACACAGCAACTGTCTGTCATCCAGTAACCTTCAATATATTACAGATTATGTATGAGTGGCCAGAAAGGAAAACTGGTTTATACCTGAGGCTGGTCCTAACTCTGTTATAGGGACAACAGAAGATGGAGAAAGTAACTAAGGCTAGACATTGGGTTAAATCACATGCTGGTGCTGCTAACCTACAGAGTACAATTTGGCCCTATCAGAATTAAAAAATACATTCACTTTTTGACTCACCAGTTTCACTTCTAGGAACTTATTCCACTGATGGAGGTTCACATATTTGAAATGACATACACACAATGTTAGTCACAGTAGTATTATTGGCAGCAGACTGGAAACAACTTTATTTTTTTATGTGCTATTATCTTTAACTAAGTACAAAGAGTCTTCTAATCATGTTACATAGAAATCATTTTATCCACTGCTCTGTTTGGCTGCCAGCCTCTTGTCTCTCTCCTCAGCAATGGTAAGGCGAATACCCTTTCCACGGGGAAGAGAGATCCATGGCTTGTTGCCTTTGCCAATAACGAAGATGTTGGAGAGCCGAGTGGCAAAGCTGTTGCCATTGGCATCTTTAACATGAACTACATCAAAGGAACCTGGGTGTCTCTCCCGGTTGGTGATCACACCAATTCTTCCCAGGTTAGCACCACCAGTCACCATGCACAGGTTACCAGTGTCGAACTTGATGAAATCAGTAATCTTGCCAGTCTCCAGATCAATTTGAATGGTGTCATTCACCTTGATGAGGGGATCAGGGTAACGGATGGTACGAGCATCATGGGTCACCAGATGAGGGATTCCTTTTGTTCCCACAAAGATCTTTCTCACTTTGCACAACTTATACTTGGCCTCCTCAGGTGTAATACGATGAACAGCAAAGCGACCCTTGGTGTCATAGATCAAACGAAAATTCTCTCCAATCTTATCAATGCTGATGACATCCATAAAACCAGCAGGGTAGGTTACATCGGTGCGGACTTTGCCATCAATCTTAATGAAACGCTGCATGCAAATCTTCTTCACTTCATCTCCTGTTAAGGCATACTTAAGTCTGTTTCTTAGGAAAATGATTAGGGGGAGACATTCCCTCAGCTTATGGGGACCGGTAGATGGACGAGGTGCAAACACGCCGGTCAGCTTATCCAGCATCCAGTGCTTTGGAGCTGCTACGCGCTTCAGGTGCTTCTTGGGACCCCGAGCCATAGCTGCACTGTGCACAGAGAGAAAATAACCTGAATATTCATTGATAGGGCCTAATTTCTACAAAATATTTTTTTAAAAACTGAGGTACAGTTGATATACAATATTATGTAAGTTTCAGGTGTACAATACAGTAGCTCACAATTTTTATTTCTATTTTATATTCTATCTATAGCTATAAAATATTGGCTATATTCTGTTTTACTATACATACTTGTAGCTTATTTACATTTTTTATTTATTTTTTTGCTTATTTACATTATATACACATAGTTTGTACTCATACCCTTATCTTGCCTCTCCCCTCATGGGACCTAGTTTGATACATTATGCTATCCTACATAAAGCAGAATCCTATGTGGTATAAAAAAAAAAAATGAGGAAGCTCTGTTTGAATAGGAAAAACTCTAAGATATATTGTTGAGTTTTAGAAGGTGAGTGTGCATAGTTCATTATTTTTTATATAAAAAATGGAAAGATGGGGAAAGAACATATTTAAGTACAATGTATTTTAGATATGCACAGAAGGGTGCTTCAGGAGGAGGGTTCGCAATGAACAGGTCGTGGTGGGTGCTGCGGGAGGAAAAACAGCCAAATGAAAACTAAGTGGGGAAAAAACCTTTCCATAGTATCCTGATTTTTAAAATACTGTACTATATAAATGTGTTATGTATTAAAAATTAAGACAAAAATGAAGTCAATGATAAAGACTATGAGGCAACATGCAGAAATGAGATTAAGATAGGTGGGAAAAAAGAAAAAAAAACTGTATCCAGTAGGATCACAACTATGTTAAAAAACCCATGTTAGGGTTTCCCTGGTGATCTACTGGTTATGAATTCACCTGCCAATGCAAGGGACATGGGTTCGATCCCTGGTCCAGCAGATTCCCACAAGCTTTGGAGCAGCTAGGCCCATGCGCCACAACTACTGAGCCCCCAAGCTGCAACTACTGAAAGCCCACGCACCTAGAGCCTGTGCTCTACAATAAGAGAAGCCACCGCAATGAGGCCCGATTATTGCAGCAAAGAATAGCCCGTTTGCTGCAATGAGAGAAAGTCCACATACAGCAACGAAGACCAAGTACAGCCAAAAACAAACAAGCAAAAACAAATAAATCTTTTTAAAAATGCATGTTAAAATTTCCATACGTGGAAGGGACATTCTGGGTAATTTTTTATTTCCTTTTTTTGCTATTTTTTTCCATAAATTTCTGTAAACATACTTATTAGAAAAAAATTAGTAACAGAAACAACATATATACTAACAGAATGGAATATTCAGTACAGTTGCAATTATGAAGAAAAGGCATTGAAGAAGACTGGAAGAAGGGATTTCCCTGGTGATCCAGTGGTTAAGACTGCTTTGCCAATGCAGGCTGTGGGGAATGGATCCCTGGTTGGGGAACTAAGATCTCACATGCCATGTGGTGCAGCTGAAAAAATTTTTTTTAAGTGTCTCTTTCTGGGACTTCCCTGATGGCCCAGTGACTAAGATTCCACACTCCCAAAGCAGGGGGCCTGGGTTCAATCCTTGGTCAGGCAACTTGATCCCACACACAGCAACTAAGAGTCCAAATACCTCAACCAAAGATACTGCAGGCTGCAATTAAGACCAAATGCAGCCAAATAAATGAATAAATCTTAAAAAAAAAAAAGAAAGTAGGCACAGTGTTCACAGCAATTGTCTCTGCATGTGAGATATTAGGTAATGTTTAAAATATTAAAATATTTTGGATTACTTTCATGATGGCTGGATGGAAGGAAGGTAGAAAGGAAGGAAAGCTAGGGAAAGAGAATTCTTCAAAATAACAGTTGTGTTAGGGTAGTAAGGTTATGGATTATTTTTGCTGCTTTGTTCAGCTTTCCAAACATTCCATTATTTGGTTTTCTTGTTATATTAGTGGGAATAAAACTCTCACTGCAGCAGAGTAGGATTCTACTCCCCTAAGTCCTGGTCATTTGCACTGAAGATTGCTACTGGTGACACACTGCTGAGGAGAAAGGGTGAAACATCAGAGACCTGAAGTCCTTAAACTGACTTAGTTGGCAAACATTTATGAAGGCCTGACTGCTAGGTTTGCTGTTGGAGAGTAAAGCATTTTAAGCAAGTATGTATGCTTCATGCAGAGATGGAAAAAGAATCCTTAAGGAGGTCTGAGTAGAAAAGCCTTGTAAGATCAGGCCTTGTAGGCAGTGATCAACTTTGTCAATGGACAAAATTAGGCCTGCCCAAGCAGGGAGTGTAGGATTCACCCATCTAAACACCTCCATTCCAGGACTCAGTGCCCCACTCCTTCCTTGCTGGCTGCGGCCATGCATGGTCTCTCTGATAGCTCTACTACCTTTATACCAAACCCTGGGGCTCATTATCAAAGCTATGGTTATTACCTATGATTATTAGTCAAAGCTATGATTTTTCCAGTGGTCATGTATGGATGTCAGAGTTGGACTATAAAGAAAGCTGAGCACCAAAGAATTGATGCTTTTGAACTACGGTGTTGGAGAAGACTTTTGAGAGTCCCTTGGACTGCAAGGATATCCAACCAGTCCATCCTAAAGGAGATCAGTCCTGGGTGTTCATTGGAAGGACTGATGCTGAAGCTGAAACTCCAATACTTTGGCCACCTGATGCAAAGAGCTGACTCATTGGAAAAGACCCTGATACTGGGAGGGATTGAGGGCAGGAGGAGAAGGGAACAACAGAGGATGAGATAGCTGGATGCCATCACCGACTCAATGGACATCAGTTTGAGTAAATTCTGGGAGTCGGTGATGGACAGGTAGGCCTGGTGTGCTGCAGTCCATGGGGGTCTCAAAGAGTCCGACATGACTGAGTGACTGAACTGAACTGAAGGGCTGAACTCTCCCTAGTCCTCACCTATCTTGCCATGATGAGCATATGTCCACTCATGATCTTCTTGGAGGAAGGACATTGTTTATTATTACAAAGCAAACAGCTCAAGAAAGGTTTTGTTCATCCAAACTCAGAGACCTGGGTTCTGATTCTGCTATTGACCACCTATGAGACCTTGGACAAGTAACTCCACCTTTATGAGCCTCAGTCTCATCTGTAAAATGGGGAAAATCTCAATAATAATGAATATTTGCCATGACCACCTCCCAGAGTTTTGGTGAGGATCAGGTGATACGGTGTATATAAACAGCACTCTAGGACTTCCCTGGTGGTCTAGTGGTTAAGAATCCGCCTGCCAGTGCAGGTGACACAGGTTTGATCCCTGATCTGGGAAGATCCCACTTGCCAAAGGGCAACTAAGCCCATGCGCAACTACCGAGCCCACACACCCTAGAGCCCATGCTCAGCAACGAGAAGCCATTGCAGTGAGAAATCCCCAAACTGCAATGAAGACCTAGTGCAGCCAAAAGTAAATAATTTAAAAAAAAATCACTTTAAATGCATAAAGGATATCCAGCTGATTGATACACAAAATGTACTATATCAAATACAATGGAATATGATTTAATCATTATGCTAAGTGAAAGAAGCCACAGGCCACATATCATATGATTCCACTAACATGAAATATCCAGAACAGGCAAATCCACAAAGACAGAAGGCAGATTAGTGGTTGCTGGTACCTGGGGGTTAGGAACAAACGGACAGTGACTATGTAATAGGTACAGGTTTCTTTTGAGGTGAGGAAACTCAGGAACTAGATAGTGGTGTTGGGTGCACAACATTGTTGAGTGTACTACATGCCGTTGGGTTGCATACTTTAAATGGTTAAAATGATTTTATTCTTACTACTTTACTACAATTTTTAAAACAGTATAAATGATGGCTCAAATCTGAGTTTATTATAATTATTTCTACAATTAATAATCAAAGGCATTAGATATTTAGAATTTCAGAATTCTTCATCTGTACTAGGGCAGAGTGACCAGAAAAAAGGAGGAAATCCCTCTCAGAAAAATGACAGAGCCCCAGGGACACGAACCCTTGGCCCAGGAGAAGTATGACCATTGGAGAAAACCAAAATGCCAAGGCCAGGGAAGCACACTGGCCTCTTCTCTTATAACCATCTGTGTGGACCCACCCTTTACTGGCTATGTGATTCCTCCAGGAACATTCCCAGCCTCTTGCTCCCAAACTCTTTCCCAGAAGACTAGAGGAGCATGTTCTGGTTCTTGCCCTGAACTTCTCAGACCTAAAGAGGCCCTAACCTGGTTTAGCTCCTGGGTGACCCCAGACCCATAAAAGCTGGGTTTCAAAGCTGAAGAAACTCTTGGATGAAGACTTCTTGATAATGATGGTATGATGTTTTGATGACAAAGTTGTGACACCACTGAGAGCAGCAATTCATTCACAGGACACTCAGATGTACAAAGACATTATTTTTCTTCCTCTCACTTAATTTGTCTCCTGAGCCCACATCTCATAGAGAGGGAACTGAGAAGGAAGGGGACAACTTGTCAATTAGGCATCTTGGTCTGCCTCCATTTCAACTGCACCTAACAAATAAATATTCAGTCACCTCATTAAAATGAGGTTTCTCCCTTCTCCTCCTCCCAGGTACCGTGGGGAAGGACCAGTTCTCAGTCTTGCAATCTACTGCTTCCCCAGTCCCTCCCCTTCTCACAACGAACCAGGGCTTCAGGGGTGGGCACATCCTCTCTGCCAAGGTTTCCTAAACTTCTTGGACAAGAGTAACTGGGCACTGGCTTAAATAAACATCCCTTCAGAGGCTCCTACCCTTGGAGATTCCTACCCATCAAGTAATTTGGGATATGACCCAGGAATCAGTCTTGTTCTCTCTCTCTCGAAATTACAGAAATACTGCTCTGTGCCATATACTAAGTTCTCTGCAGCCTGGATTACAGTAACCTCCTTAATGATCAAGTCCTCCAGGCTGACATAAAGGAGTGGGAGCTTAAAACATTTATAAAATAATTTCTTTCTCACCGTAACCAGTCTTTCAAGATCACTGCCTTACAAGGAGGCCCCCACCATCATCAAAAAAGGAAACTTGTTAATTGAAGGAGCGCAATG